TGTCGAAATGGGGGAGAAAAAAGCCACAGCATTCTTGTTAACGATAAAGTATGATTTTAAAGATTATTAAAACCAGGCCCAGCTCCACGAGCTTGGCCTGGCCAATCACAAACTTGGCCCACTCAGTCACAAGCTTGGCCTGGCCAATCACAGACTCGGCCCACCCAATCATGAGCCTGACGCACCTAATGCTGGGTAAATGCCAGCCAATCTCTCTATTTTTCATCAATTATCATAAATAAGAGGGAAGCACATGGATTTTTCAAAACCTTTCGAACTCTTACACACAAACACACCCCCTAGACCCTCTGAGGGTCATAGAGCTGGAGCCAGACCCAATTAAAAGACAAGCAGGCAACCGCAGTACCACAAATGCATAAAATATCCATCCATCTATCATCCAACTGCTTTTCCTGGACAGGGTCACCTGGAGTCTATCCAGTCAGCATGAGGCAACAGATCGGGATATTCTGGGATGGGATACCAACCCATCACAGCACAGAGCAAACATGGATACACTGCACTGCACTGCACTACAACTGAAGCAGAGACAGGATTCAAACCTTTATCCCTGGTGATGTGAAACAACGTTGCTGGAGGCCGTAGGAATATTACACTAAGTTGCCGTTTGGCAGACTCTTACATAGCTGATGCTTTATACATTTATCCTGCTGTCTAGGTTTACTGAGGTAATGCAGCTGGCCCAAGGGTACAACAGCATGGGTGTTCTTAGGAGCAGAAACGCCTATCATTCGATGTTCTTCTTTAATCGCTTAGACTACCTGCTGCCCTTGAGCACCCAGACAGTAATGAGGCAGTTCAGACGTGTGACATAACGCATCACGGCCTCGACAGCTGAAATTGGCTCGCAGCCAAACAGGAGAGACTGGCCAAAACATTATACCTGCCAGAAATTATAGCCGTCTGACAGATTAGACGGGTGAAAGTTTACAACAAAAGGGTGTCTGTCAATCCAATATCTAATGTAGTGTAACGGTTTCTGTGAGGTATTCAAGATTGCAGCTGTGGTAATTATCAGTTGTGAATCACAGAGGCTGCACAGTCCCCACCACCTAAAGCAAAGATTTCAGTGAGGGAAGGATGAAAGGACACCAGAACCGCTGCTTGTGCGAGAGATTAATTTTCTTCTTTCATGCAATTAACTGCATCGTCCAAACAGCTCACGAAAATGTCTGTAATCCAGTCAAAGAAAACGGCTTGCATGTCACATGACGCTTGGATGCATATCTTCATGCAGTTCCGGCCTTCTCCGTGGACGTAAGCTTCTTGTATGGAAAACAAAGTGATTCTCCTCTTGGCTGTATCACTGATTATCCTGCTCTGCCTGTGATTTGCTCTTTTAGAACGTCTCCTATTATTAAATCACTACTGACTGTAGTGGGATGGCGGAGCAGGTGTCAAGAAATGCGAGTAAATATGAATACACCAAAAATAACTCTGTAATGAAAAGCCTTTATTAAGCACAGTCAGCAATGTATCATCTGATATGTGAATTTATGTGTAGGAGTGTATTGTGACATATTGTAAAGCACTGCAGTGCTTGAGCATAATGGATTCCCGTTGCATTGCTGAATTGTTTAATGTGATAGTCTCATACTTAGCAAGTCATTTTTTTTTTCATTTTCATATTTTTTTTAGCTACATGTAAATTTGAAATGGACTGATGGCAATTCCATTCATACCACTTTCTTTCAAATACAAAAGTTACATAAAAAGGAAGTTGCATGTAAAATATGTAAAAATTTAGTTGCCAGCATGTAATTGACAGTTATTTATGGGAAACATTAAATTCACACAGTAAAAAACAACAATGACACACTTTTAACAATATATAAATCGTCGTATCTCTTTAAATTCCGGCCAGTGTTGTTCCTCAGATCCTGACGCAGTTGTGCCATACGTCAAGCGCTAAGGAGAAACACAAGACCAGTACTGCTTTATTTTAGCAAGGCGAAGTGCCCCCGTGCCCACGTAACTCCTACAGCATTCCAATAAATCCGTATCCATTAAAGTAAAGTTTAAAACAGTGCCGCTTTAAACCTTTAATTTATTTTCTCTACACTTCATCACAATATATTTACCATAAAAGCTGAATGGTAAATTCCTTTTTTAACTTCGAATGCTGCTTATTTATTTGGTGTGTGTCTCGAAAACTAACTATTCGTCTGATTAGTTCACAGAAGTACTTAATATCGACGAGCTTAAGACGGAAGGAGACGGGGAGTCGCATACAGCAGTTAGTGGAATATCTATATCAGTCTCCCGCGATACTTCCTTTCTCATAGCACCCTGTTGTATCCTTCCGCCGCTGTTAATGCAGCGGCGTGTTTTACTGTACTGTTGTAGCACACAGGCAGGTAGTCATCTGTACTACATAAAGAACAAAATGATTTTGATGAGACTAAATAGTCCTCCGAAAAACTTAGGAAAACTTACGTTTGACCCCTAAATATCCAACTGGGTTTAATTGAAATATTTTGCACTGGCTTTCCGTCCTTGAGAAACGAATATATCGATGTATAGTTGCATTATACGGTTCTTTTGCAACTATGATCGAAGTTCCCCTAAAACTACTTGACTCCTTTTGACTTAAAGGGCATTTCTTGTAATTCTTTCTTATCGTATTTATCATAACTCATCTTTATGACGGGTGTTGCCACATTTCGTTGTGCGTAATATCGATGCCGTCAGTTTGGCGAAAAGGCAACACGCCATAATCTAGGAGCGAATATAACGATGCAGCGCATTGTTTATGAGATCGGCGATGGGCAGAGCATGCAGCGATCTCAGGAAGGTGGCGCACGCAGTGTATCAGTGACAGCCGAAAGGGAATTTTACAAGGCTATGCAGCACAGCTGCTCTGCACCTGCTCTTGTCCGTTTGCAAGTCCACTGGCATGGGGAGCAATGCCCATGAACTTCTAAGCAATGTTGCGGTGTAAAACTAGCCCCCCGTCATGTTCTTAACAAACAAGCCTGAGTCGTTGGCTAAGGAGCTACGTGCTACCATTACTACCCCTTAAGTCCCCACTCAATGTTTCACGGCGTTTAGTACGGTTGGTACAACACCACGCAGTGTTACAGTAATGACCATCCACAATGCACCATACAGAGGTTACTCACTTATTCTTTTCTATGTATCTTCCATAAAGACCATGTAACATGACCTATTGAGGGACACAAAGATTGTCACTAACAAGTTTTAACACCTTAAATGATCGTCATAGTGAAGTAATATCCAGATCCTGTACTTCATAAACACAGTATTTATGGTCTTATTGAAGTAATTATTTGGATGTGTCAACCCTGGTTTCACAGTGGCCAAGTGGCTGCAATGTATTAATATTCCCTCTTCCACAACAATCTAATAATTATACTTCCTTTGCTCATCTAAGATGTTCATTTGTCATCTAAATTGAACTAACTGGGTGATCTTGACCTGTTTATGCCATTTGGGTCTGATAATAAATAACAGTAAGGATTTATAGCATTAAGTTATTGTTTTATGTATAAAATGTATGGGTAGCCAGTATAATTAGCTATTGCAGGTCCAATATTAATTTGAATATCTTGTGGACACTACATTAGGTACAAACGGGTGGTGACGTACAGAGCCTGCACCTACAAATAGAAAATCATGTTATTGCAGCTGAATACTAACAGCGTACAGACATGGTCAAGAGCTTCATCTTTGCAATTAAAGAGGTCAGAGGGGAATTGTGAGACTAGTTAAAGTTGACAGGAAGGCCCAGTGCAAAAATATCAGCTCAGAACAATAGTGCTGTATAGAATGGCTTCTCTGTACACACAATACATACCCTTAAGGTGGTTCTGGAGACCAAAGGGGATCATATTTAATACTTTGTATTTTAGAATAGATTAGAATGCACATTTCTTACAGAATGAAGTCTGCAGAGCATTCTCTAGGATGCCATCATAACGTAAGAGAAATTAAAAAAAATGCCTAATAAAGTGGCCACAGAGTTTTTGCATGTCCTTCGTAAGAAAATCCCAAATCCAGCACTGACCTGTTTAACTTCCCGAGATCCAGTTGGGGGGGGGGGGGGGTTAAAAAATATTTATTAAAATTTTGATTTGACAGGAAAATGAAGTTAATAGTGTGGAATGTATTGCGTGGTAAAATATGAGCAAAAACTTCCTCTAGGGAGAACAAAAATGAATTGCTGGATCTCAGGAAGATACTACTTTGTCTCTGCTGATGGTGAGACCATCTGCACACTGCTAATGCAGCTCCTCATCAATGTTCCCTTTAATGAAGATGATCACTGTTAGAAAGCAGCAGACACTCCAAACCACACTGGCTGCTTTCTTTCCCTCTCTGGGTGACATAATAGTTTCCATTAAGGTAGTTTGGCTGGATTGTTTATGAACATATTGCATTTGAATACAGATTTTTGAACATGGTCATTCAATACAGAACACTAAGCGTAGAATAGGCCTAACTCACATTTACTGCATCTGCCACTCCTAGGTTCAATAGTCAAACAGAATGTTCCTTTATTTTTTTGCACTTAAAAATGTCACTCGTTAAAATTGTAATTATTATTCATATTTAATTTAGCCTAGCAAAAGATTTAGGAACACTGAAACAACACAAATTGTGACATTTGTTACTACATTTCTCCAAATGGTCAGGTTTTAATAGTTTTAATGCACACCAAAACCAGTACAGCTATCAATAAACCAGGACCGATCGGATGAAATAAAAAATATATCAGTCATTACAGTTAAAGTCGTCGTCGAGACCCATCACAACGTAAGCCTATAATGCAGAGTGAACCCGAAGCCTCGCTGACTGACAAGGCGGAGGGATACAAGCACACCAGGCAAGCATGATCATTATTACCCCCTCCCCCCCAAAACACGCACGCCCCTCCTTCTCCTCCTACGCATTCGTTTTCACCTACTAGCTCTCTCATTGGCTAAGTGAAAGAAGCACTTGCTTTTTATTGGCTAACTTTTCATCAATCTTCCCAGCGTTCCGATCATGGTAGATTGCGCTTCACTTCTACATTGTATCGTTTGACTGAACTAGTTACCTTTTACATTAAGCGGAAAGGGGCGAGAATTGTTTTTCTATTAAACGCCGAGGACGAACATTTTTGTCAACGTCAACTTTTATATGTTTTTAAATTAAATAATTAGATTTTATATGTTCCAGATGTGGGCACACCGTTTCTGGGTAAGTGAAGCGATATATCTTCTTTTTGGTTTTTGTCGACTGCATGCCAGTTGTTTTTTTTTCCCATTTTAAATATGCCTCTTCGGTTCCGTGACACAAGGAGTTCCTATATCCAAACGCGATGTTTCACCGCCGGACGCCAACGTTTCGATAAAGTGCGCAGTTCCTCGGCCACTTGCGTGTTTTTCTCCCTGTGTAGTTAACGGCGAGATCGTATTTGACGGAAGAGTTTAGGGTAATGGGTGTCGCCTTCGTGACTGATTGTGAAATGTTGGTGGATCGGGGTTAGATATAGGTTACGCGTTTTTGCCCCCCTCCATGTTGATGTTTCGGAGTATGAATTCGCCTTTTGCGCTTGACGGAGGTGCGCGCCGAGCGCCGGAGCTGTCAGCGGCAGAACGGCGACGGGCACCTTGGCTCGCTCTGCATTTACGCGGAAGCTGTGCTCTACACTGTTATTGGCACGTTTTATTATCTTCGTCATCATCGTCAACAACAACAAGAATGAGTAATAATAATATCAACAATAATAACAGCCGGCAAAAATACTACCGACAATATAAGTGAATAATAACATTGTTGTTGTTGTTTTGTTATTATTATTATTATTATTATTATTACGAAACATTTCTCTGATTTTTAGTATTAGTGAGACAATAGAATAAATGGTAATTAACTTCCTCGTCTGTCAATAGAGATTCCATTCCAGTACAGTACATGTTGTACTGTCTTTAACTTTATTATTGGCCTGATGTTATACTGTCGTTCTTCTTGCCCTTGGTGTGGACGAGTAAAAGCCTCCGATTTAAGGCGCACGTCTGATCGCGGGCAAACACTGATTATTTTTTTTTTCTTTTTAGTCCTTATCAGTTTAGTTGACGGTTGTAGCTTGACGGTTGTCTCTTGTAATGTAATGTGGAGTCAGTCGTGTGTTTTACTTTTTGTGTTTTAAATGTCGCCTTTTGTTTTTACTAGCTGAAAATTTCACTAAGGTTTGCAGACGCTTGGCATGCAGGGTGAAGTACAGTAAATAGTTTTCTTTACAGAAATAGACTTTTGCCTCGTATTATTTATGTCGCATCTGTTTCTGGTGTCAGTGATATTGTCAGGTAATTTCATTTCGCACGAAAACCGTTTAGTTCATGGTGTTCAATATATCAAATCAAGTAAATCATATAAATAATTAATAAAACTGATTAGTTGTTAAGGGGATACCATTCAGGAGTCGAAGTGGTTGCTTTGTGACGTTTAATGGCTTCTCCATATCATTCCAAATTGACTTTTATAAATGACATGTCCCATGTTAAATGGGCAGACGTCAATGTCAAGTTGGTCTTGCGGTTTTGATTGGACAGCCATGGAGCTCGGGAAGCAGAGGGAGAAGCACAATGCAGGAATCTGTTGAAGGGTAAAAGAGCATAACTGAGCCAGCTCCGGGAGAGAGCAATTAGCCGCTGTGGATGTGTGGCTTTGCGAGGCACTACAACTGATACAATTGCATTTTGTCAAAAAATAAACAATCAAACCCCAAGGTATGTTGCCTACTTTAATTAAAACACCTTTTGCCACGGCATGTTTTGACATCAGTGGGACACGCGGAGCCTTTTTGCTCGGCCGCTGTTGGCTCCATCTGGACGCGCGTTCCCGTGGGAGCTGCGCGCGCCGGTGCCGCGCAAGGGCCGGCGTGACCTTTGATATTCCGACGTCGCGAGTCATTCATCGCGGATCAGAACGCGGCCCCTGCAAACACTTATCTTCAATATGTCTGTTCAGTAACCGTTGCCGCACCAGATGGGACGTTGCCGTCACCTAAAATGGGTGAGCGCAAATGAGGGGAAGGGAGGAAAAAAACAAACGAAGAATAATGATTTGCATCAGGCCTGGCGCCCTCGTTCAAACTGAATGGGATTCGACTCTCCACAGCGGCAGGGGTCTAGACAAAAATTCAAAAAATATTACATCATCACCATCTTGGATGCTGTTAAAACGTGAGGCTTTTCCTTAGTGAACAATAGAGGCCAGTTTGCTAGGTAATTTTAATAGGACCTGCAAAGGGAGACCTACTGTGCCTCTTGGAGAACCCGAGACCATCTCTGTAACCGCTAGGGGAATATGACTGATAGGGAGCGAAAGTAGCATTTCGGGGGGGTGGGGGTTGTGTAACGGAGGGAGATATAGGAGCGAGGCTGGCAGGACTAGCCTGATGTCCTGGGTGCGAGCACGTCAGAGCGGCAAGCGGGGCCGGCCTGGACAGGTGGCAGGGAACCCCGATTCTCTGCAGGAAGCCCACACGCTGTGTCTGCATCACCGGGGGCCAAATCCTCATGCTGGCACCTCTCTGGAAATAACGGGGGGGGGGAAACTAGAGCATAACTTACGAAACGGCCTACCTGACTTGTACTAGCTGGAATCGATTTAATTGGGTCCGCCCCTCTCTCTTGGTGTCATTTTACTTGTTGACAGGACAGTTGTATCCAAATCTGTGTGCATGGCTTGCAGCTTCTTGCCTTATCTGTTGATACAGAAGGAAATTTGTGTGTGTGTGGGGTGGGTGGGGGGGGGGGATCGAGGTAAAACTACCCCGGCAGATTCCCGCCTGGGATGTGAACTGGCAGCCTTCGGCCTGAGGAATCCGCCTTTGGCCAGTTCTCTGCCTTCTGTCGGTTTATCGGTAATCGCATCTGTTATGCTGCCGGCCGTTTAAGGCGTCGGGATTCACAGAGTGCTCGAACGGCACGCCGCAGCGCGACCCAGGCAAACACCGGTGCCGCCCCACGAGCAAACACCGGGATTAGTACGCTTTATTCTTCTTCTCAAATCTCACGTTCACTACCACTGGCAGTTAACCAACCGCCCGCTTGACAAGAGGAAAGCTGTGCTTGGAGAATATTTCTCCTCCTGACATAACTTCAGGCCGGGATGGGTCTTATTATTTATTGAGACGTGACACAGGAGATGGTGCTTCTGTGCCGCTGGTACGTTGGGGGGTAGGGGGCGGGCAATCTGCTCTTAGAGCTGGTGGGATGGAACTAACCTAGTTAGTACTTAGAGGCTGTGGTGAGGTCTCCCGTACCTTTGCAGGACTGGCACTAGGTGACACTGCGCAGCGCAAGTCAGCAGCATAATGATTTTAATGAAGAAGTTCAAGTTCTGGAAATTTCCTTCCTTTTTTTCCTGAGGATAAAGCTAATTGAATAACAGATGAAATCAGATGATTCACGCAGAGAATCTTACCGGTTATTTGAGCTGAAGTTCAAGGCTGTCCGCCGGCTGGTTTTCGGGAAGAATACTGACGGTAGAGGGAGTCTTGTGTTGACTCTGCTCACACTCCCTCGGCTGTAGGCTATACAGGAAAGTCAGCTGCCTGTCTGTGCCTCTTTTGTGGATTCCGCCTCCATCGTTTTTTTTTTTAAGACTGTAGAAAATGGTTTCCTCTCTGCAGTCTGCCGTGTCAGGATCAGACCCCAACAAGCGGGACTTTCCATGGTCAGCACATGGCTCACGCCACAGCCAGTACGCCCCCCCCCCCCCGCCCCCCCCCCCCCTTCCCCCCCCAAAGCCACCACACGATAAACCATCGAGCGTCAAACCCTGCTGTAACAGGAAACAAGACGCCCCCCTCCTACCACCGCCCCCCTCCTACCACCGCCCCCCCCCCTGACTCTGTTCAGGCTTCCTGGTGAAGGGCGAGTGCAGCCAGAGGGTCATTAAGCACGAGAGATGCCGTGCTATGGTGCAGTACCAAGGCGAGATATCATCGGGGGGGGGTGGAACCATGCCGGTGGGGGGGGGGGGGATTTGATGGTAATATGAGCCTGTGATCTAGGAATTAGGACAAAGGGCAAATGATCTCTCATTGTTTCCCTTGGCTCCCATAATACTGTGCTCACTTGGTCCTTGTTCTGCTGCTGACACCTTGCAGGACTGTAAACAAACTCTGCCCGTTACACTTAACACTGTCCTGACTGCACCCTCATCGGGGTGTGTGTGTGTGTGTGTGTGTGTGTGTGTGTGTGTCCTGACCTCTCCTGACCCTGGACAGCAGTATTCCCCAGTGAGGTTAAGTCATTTTTCCCCTCCTCCCTTCATGTTACAGGATACTCTCTACACAGCAGTACCCTTTGTTGGTCAAGTGCAGCGCAGTGCACGGGGCTCTTGGTTTTCCGTGGTGAAAAATTATGCATTACGATGTTAAACTAAAAGTCGGACAAGCTCTTGTATTGGTCCATCTGGCTGCAAAGCCCCTTAGCTCTGGATGTCAGCTACACCCCATGCTTTTGCTGTAGCTGTCTAGGTGACAGCCCTGTCTGACCTGAAACAAATGAGCATTTGTACCAATAAAAATGAGTGTCTTTACTTATACATACTTATGTTTACACAGATTTTTAAGCTGTAGCTGTTTAGAAGAAAAATCAGTATATCAAATGCCTAAATAATGTGTAAATTTATTATCGCTAAGGGTTGTTTGTTTTGGACGTCTTCCTCGGCCTCTGTAGTGGCTCTGAATACTTATCCTAGCAATCTTTCGGGGCTTGGAAAAAACTGAGACCTCTCTTTATTGAGATATCACAGCTGCAATAAAACAGCGCTTCAGTTTAGAAAATGTTTTATTGTCACTCTTATGTGACTGAGCTTGTTTTATTATTAAACAACATTATCGAATAACAATGCTGAGCCTGAGCTGCTGATTTTTGCCTCGTTCGGCAAAACAACCCCCCCCGCCCCCATCCCCAGTCTGGGGTCTGCTTGATTTCTGCTCCAAATACTGAGAGAGAAGCTACTTCTGGGGCTAATGTGGAGCCCTCCTTCGCCCCCTGGGCCTGCGCCGAAGGGCGAGCGGCCCAGCCAGCCTCTCGAGCGACTCCAAAGCAGCGTGACGCTGACGTACGATAAGCTGCCCGTTTTGAGGTGTGATGCAAATAATCACCAGGCCAGAAAGAAGTGCCACAGCACTCGGCTCTTTCTGTCTTTATCTGATTCAGTGCGTTGCTTCCTCTTTA